AGTTATGGACACAACGGTCACAATGGTCTAAGAAGTATTATTTGTACATTTAAAAAAAAAACACATAGTAAAATCAATACATTCATCGCTCCATTCAGAATCTAAAAAATTATTAATTTATTTTTTAGATTTATTTGTTCTATATTATTATAAAATAATTCGTAGTTTTGTGATCTTGGCTTTATTTGTGAAAATTTTAACTTGAAATGTTTATAAAAAATCWCAACGGTCTTACTGTTTTGAAGCTGTAGTTTTTCTGAACTTATTTGGAATAGAAAATGGATGATCATAAGATTTAATGTGTGTTACTGATTTTGCTTTTAACTCTCTATGATCTATCCCCTTACATATTTTTGATTCTATTAATATCAATACTCAGATGTCCTTAATTAACCAAAAAAACATAATTAATTTACCAAAGATCTATTGCATTAGTATACACAAAAGAAAATATAGGGCGGTGCTTTCTGTTCTTAATTGAATGAATGCCCTAAATTCATGAAAATTATTGCTACATAATAGTTGAGCTTAATTAATAATTACCTTTTTAAATTAGAAACCAGTAGCCAATGCTGATAATGACAAATTAAAAATGAGAGCTGAGAGATTTGGTGAAACTGTTTCCAAGACTTTGCATGATGTGAGTATATTGTTATTTTTCATCTTCTGTTCATTTAAACTGAGCATGATATATAAATATTTTTAGTTTGAAAAAACAATTTTAGGTTTTATATAAAGTTTAAAATATTGTGTGTTTAGCATAATTCTATCAATCAATTAAATTTGAGTTACAATAGTTATAAGTCTATTTGACTTAATGTGTTATTATTAAACTAGTTTCCTTTTTATATAAGAAATTTGTAATAAACCATATTGACTTATTTTATTGTTATGTACAATTTTTATATTATTATTATAATTAATTATTACTCCTTTTTTAAATAGAGCGAAAAAGAAGACAAACTTAAAGCACGTGAGCTTCGTTTTGGTACAATTGACAAAACTGTATTAACAGCTATTAAGAAACGTACTAATGGCGATGTTGGAAAACAGAAGAATTCTCGAGGTGGTAAAAGGAATTTTCCATACAAAAAACGGTATTAATCTTTTCTTTTGTAATGAATTTACAAATTGACTGTATATTAATTTTTTTATATTGTTTCCCACTATAATCAACAATCCCTTAGGTTTTTATCTGTATCAAAATCGTTATTAGTAGTGTATCCGGAATTATTTTAATGAAATAAATAAAAGGAATTTGTACATTCCTTTATTAATCTAAAAACATTTAAATTAATTTAGTTTTACTACACAATAAAATCAAATTTCTTTGTGTGTTCGAAATTCTTAAACTTTAGAAAAAATAAAAAAAAAAATATATATATATATAAATGATTTGTTTAATAGTTATTTTACATTTTTCTAATATCTACATTTGTTGTGTTGAGTTCTAGGTATACAAATAATGTATATAGTTGATGTATTGAAATGTATTTCATACATTTTCAGTATTTCAAATGAAAATTATATAATAAATCAGGCTGTAACTAATTTTCTTAAGTGATTGATAATGCATATTTTATGTAAACCTTATTTGTTATGAGTCATTGAATCTCTTAATAAGATGCTGTCCATGCGTTCGGGCATTCCTCGTTCCCATTTTACCAATGTCAGTTATAACAAGTTTTTTGTTCAATAGTCTAGTATTAGTTTTGATACTAGAGTGAATTGATCTATTATCAAACTTTCAGATAAGAACAATATCTGTGCTTAAGTGTCAGCAAATTTTCAAGCAAGATACAGGTATGTAAAACAGCACAAATTAAAAATGCTCATATTATCTCGCTTGAAAATGAAAATATCAAATAAAAGCCAACATCTAAGCACAGCTAATGTTCTTACTTGAAAGTTTCATTATAAGTCAATTTAATCTAAGATCAAAACAAACAGGACTATTAAAATAAGTTAAAAATTGTCTATGTTGTACCTTGTAAGTGTATAAAACGGATACAACAAATGCATTGATAGTGTCCTCTTAATATTTGGAAAAACTGCTGCTGTTAGTTACATTTAAATGTTCAATAAAGAATAGTATAGTATAGGAAYTAACCAATAAAATATGTATTAAAAATTACAATAAATTGTGCACAATGGTAAAATGATTTATGTATGTGTTTAATTCTATGAGCCATCAATAAGTAGTTTTTACCAATGCTGTGTCAACTAAGCAATAGATATACACTGAAACTTTTTTGAAAATTTAAGGTATACTAATTAGTATTAATAATTAAATGCAGTTGAATGGTTTTCAATTTAAAAAGGACCTTGACGTCTTGAATTTTGTGCAGGGATGTGGCTTGAATACACTGCAGGCTTATGGATGTTTGACTGATGGGTGTAGCCTGACTATCTTCACGATTTACAAAAGATGTCACTGCTGATATTCATTTTTAACGAGAATGGAGTTAGGTTGCCCCTAGCTCAGAACTCATGGCATCTATCCTGGTAAACTAAGCAAATAGAGGTTTTTGCAATCTATACGGAAAGCGAATGTGAATGATAGACAAATTAAGGATAGCGTTACAAACTTACAACTCTACTAATATTCTGTACTATACAGTACTCAATTAGGTGTGATATATTTGTATTATGCATGTCATGAACAAAACAGTGTTATACTAGATATCTGTTTAATGTAAGACATTCACTATCTAATAACTATCAGCGTTTTTGAGAATATTTTTTTGTTTGACATTTTTGATTTTTGAATAACAACATATTATATTTTAATTCCCTATTCCAAATCTCAATGTTTTTTGTAGTATTAAAAATCGTAAAAATCGAATTTTAAACTAATAATTCAAGTATTTTAAGTTTAAATTATTATCTATATTCACATACTATACTCCACTCGTAATTTCTTTTCTTTTTTTTTAAGAAATATTTACAATTTTTATTATAAATACAATTATGGATGAGTATACCCTCATCTAAAACTATAAGCTTTTACATAACTAATAAACATTTCCAAAATTTGATTTATATCTTTAAATACTCCGAATAATATTCTCCTCTGGAATATGGAATTCAAAATATATGTTGTAATTCAAAAAAGTAAAAAACATAAAAAATGAAAATGAAGACAAAATAAAATAGTAAAAATGTCGTTTCATATGTATAACAACTAATATAATGTAAAAGAAATATTTTCAAAAATGTTAGTGTTTTCGAAATAATAATTGTCTAAGCCTAAAAGTATGACGTTAAATTATTACTCAATTTGAGGCGGTGCCAATCGGTTGCCCCGTAGGTAGTGTTGTAGGAACAAAAAAAAAAGAACAATTGTTATTCGTGGGTACCTACTTACTTAAAACTTTTAGAGAAACTTAATCTATTTTATACACACAATGACATTTTCAAATGCAAATTTTTCAGCAAAACGATTATAACCTACTGTAGTATACTAATGTATTATAGTATGATGAATTATAATAATCGAAATCATGTCATCAACTATTATTATAGCTTATAATTTATAGGCTGACATACCGTCTTTGCTCAGAATCGTTTTTCATATAAAATGAATTTATATCATTGAATTCAAATTTAACACATTAATTACAGTGACTCTCTAGACTCCTAATGACGTTGCAGAACGTTATTCCGCTTTTTTCTTACATACGTTTTTATGAATTTGCATTGAATAGTAAACACTCAATGGACCTCTGATCATATTCGTGATTTAAAAACGAAATCATCCATAAAATATGATCTGAAAAAGCCAAAACAATTACTTTGAAAAAAACTACCAAATATTTGCTGTCGTTAGTTTTACGATTTTGAAAATAAAAAAATCGTTTTTATTAGTTTTAAAATATTAAAGTATTATTCTAAAAGCGAAATGATGGGTATTTGCGTCACAATAATAAAAGACAAACGCGTCTGTATAGGAACACYGATATCTATTACAGTGGTCTATTAGACCGGAAGTCKGTTGGTATTGTCATTTCACATCAGTCAACAACCGTATAGACGAAATATCAAAGTGCGCTTTTACATAATACAGCTGGTTACACGTCTCGGCAAGTTTTCATTTTGCTGTGTACAAAATGTACTGTCAACGGTTGGTTGTTTGATCGACAGCGCGTTTAAGCATATTTTAATATAATATGTTATGTACAATTAATTATTTAAGTTTTATACTAATTTTCTTAAGTGGTTGATAACTGTAGTGGCGGCGTGAACATTTCTCATTCATGAGACACTAACAAATTTCAGGAATCACTCACCCCCCAAAAATTGTCGTACAAAATGCTTCTCGTTCGGCACCTACCGATCACCAACCACTAACTCATCCATCCCAAACAGCCACTCACAGGACCTTATTGTCACGTCGTCACTGTAAATACTATAAATTGATAAAAGCATTGATTATTGTTTTTAAAAGTATAATCGTTCCCACACGGCGAGTTGTTACAAATATATCGAGCCTGATACTTACCTATGCGAATTGCTCCATCTATTCATTTATTGGATTCGTATTGTCATAGAGCTAYTATTTTATGTTTCCTAAGGACAATTAGGAAAACAATAAATAAAATAGTTAATTTATAAGGCTATATAATTATTAGAGTATCAGTGCGAAAATCGAATGTTTTTTTTTTAGAAACATTATAAACACTATAATATGCTGTCGTCTGTTGGAATTACAACCGAACTATCAACAACTTCGGTGTAATCGAATTGTGCTAAAAACGAATACAAAAAATGTTGAATTCAAACTAGACAAAGTACACATTATTAGTATAGGTTTATGTTAAGACGATCATTTCCTATTTCATTTAACATATTTTTTATACTGCAGGTATACAAACGTACAACGCTGTAGTCTTGTACATTTGTACATTTATATCAATATTTATTGATGAAATAATTTATTTTATTATGCTATAATAATAATAATAATAATAATAATAATTATAATTATAATGACAATTACAATAAAAATTCAAAATCAATAATAATAACAAAATTTCAGAGCTAAAATTAATATAATAAATGTTTAATAATAATGATACAAGTAATAAACGGCGAACGTGATCGTTGTGTTTTAAAAAACGTTATAAACATTTTTGTAAATATATTTTGTCGAATATATAATATAATTTACCTGCTAAAAAATTGATAGTATTTTACTAGGAAAATTGTATTATAAAAAAAAAAGCATTGTATAATATTTAATATTATATAGTAGTAAACACAATAAGCACCAGTCTTTTTATAATAATATATTATAAAATAATATCATATTATGTAGACTTGTAATTTATTTTATTCAAAAATGCTATTRAAATACCAAGAAATGATTTATTTAAATTGAAAAATTATTAACTTTTTGTCAAATGCATACTCATTATGTATATTAGTGTATATACGTATGCCATTATTATTATTTTTTTTTTTGTTATACAACTGACCGATCAGGGTCGCTGTTCAAAAACGAGAACAATTATCGTTTGAACTCAATTTATTTAATTTATATATTATATATATATA